TGGTGTCGCTCTGGGCGGCCGGGCGGTGGAAGGAAGATCCGCTCCTGTTGGAACTTGCGGGGCTCAGGGGCGGTGTGGAGTGATGTCACAGCCCGGACGGCCCTGACGGCTCTTATTCAGGGCGGCTGTCATTGTCCCTGAGTGGCCAGCAGCCGCTTCTGGCTGTGGAGCCCAGTACCTAGAAGCAACCCACCCTTTCACCGCGCCCCCATTTCTCAGCAAGCCATGCTCCCCGGCTAATGGGATGTCACACCTAAGGGCTTTACACGGCTTCCACTTCGTAGATCTAAATATGGAAATGAAGCCAAAGCCAGCAACCCCGAAAGGGAATGGAGAACCTCAAGACCCCAGCGCACCGGGGAGCGGTCTCCCTGCCGTTGCTTTTGCTCCTTCCCCTTCGTGCTTTCATTGTAGCAGCACCAGCAGAATTTAAATTCCGCGTAGCACACAGAATCGTTTCCCCTCCGGGCCTTGTCACGTGGCTCCATTTATCGTTTTTTCACCCATTTTAGAGAAGTGGGCCCACCCTGGTTGCAGGATACTGAGTGGCTATTACTCTCAGAAAAGAGGCCACTTCTTTCCTAGGCGACCTGCAGACACATACGTGGCTTTCGGCCGGAGGAGGAAGGGCTTGCTCTCATGTGGTGCTGTCTGTGTGAGGACAGGGGAAGCCTCTCTCCTGCTGTGGCCTCCGCCATTTATCAGAAGCACCTGGTAACTTCCCCCTGAGATTGTTGGCGCCTCTGATTCTAACAGCCCCTCTGTTCAAAGGGCAGGACAGGAGCGGCTACTCTCAAGGCTACATTCTTGCACCCCCCTCCTCTCCTCCATCCCCTCCTCCCCGCTCAGGGACAATTTTCACAGCTCAGGGGTAATCACACCAAGGAGTCTCCCTCCTCCTCCTCCTCAAACAAGCCTCTTTGAACTCTTCATAACTGTCACTCTAAGCACATCTTACAGGCTTGGGCAGACACTGATAAGACACCTCCCTCCGACATCTGCCCGACTATCTCACCCCAAGTCCCCCTCCCTTCCTTGTCGCCTAGCAACAGCAGCCATCGCCCTTTAAAAGAGCAGGCCAGTGTTTATTCCCTGCCCTGGGATCAATTAGCGATGCACCAGCCCTTTCCCTTCGGGGAAAGTAAAACAAACTCTCTCTGCATCTCTCTCCTCTCTCAGCTGTGCATTCTTTCACAGCCCCTCTCACGGGCCAAAACCCTAACACTATTTCCTTAGAAAAACGATTTGCTCTTTGTAGTGGTTACTGACAGCGGCCTCATTTACACTCAGATTAAGATGGTCTACTGGTCCGTGAGTGCGGTTCTTGCTTCCCAGGAGAACCCTTTTCATTTGGAGATTGCATTTGCCAGAGAAAACTACAGGAGAGTGGATGAGAATGGAATTTTCCTATCTGCTCACATTAAGTGTGTGTGTGTGTGTGTGTGTGTGTGTGTGTGTGTGGTGAAGCAGGGCTCTTATTCCTAGAATGGACAGTAGAGGGTCCCAGCTTTTCCAGATCCTTTCAAAACTGATCAGTTTAGTCATGAAAAAAGCACATGCCCAAGGTTTGAAAACACAAGGGCCACTTTTACTAGTGACTTGTACAAACGGTTACTTCTCTTTTCTTGTCCCCCGTTCCTGTTTATACTTCCTTGTTCATCATAACACTTGAAAACAGCGGGACAAATGTTCCCCGATCTGAAGGATGTCTTTGGGGTGGGCTGACAGGATGCAGTTTAGGGGCACACCCACACTCTGGGCGAGGCTCCGAGGGCCTGAGGAGATGGGCTGCTACTTCCTGGAGCTGGAAGCAGCCCCAGCAGGTGGCACAGATACCAGCTTCCACAGCTGCAAGGGATTGAAAGCAAACACCTGATTTACAGATGTTGAGTTTTGACCAAATTATTTCTTCTCTGGGCAAATCCTATCAGGTTGAAACGTGAAATTGCCATTTCTATACGTCAAAAATAGCCCAACCTAATAGTATGTCCCCAGTAAACTACAGCCAGGGTAAATAATTTAGAAATTACTAATGATTGTCTCAAACAATGACAACAACAACTGTGTCATTAGACTGCATCTTGGCAGGTTTGCTTTTACCTTTTCCGTACAGCCTGCGTTTTCCTGTCGAGAATGCCGGAGAGTGCTGAGCAAACTGGAGAATATTAACAGTCCGATCCCAGGACCTTTGCCAGCTTTTTCTGGGTGATACAGGCAAGAGCTAACTTTTATCTGGGCTCTGCAGAGACCCGACAGCACATAGAAGGGAGGCTCCTCGTTAGAGCTGCAGGATGTGCGCCCTTCACCTCGAGCAGGTGCCTCTGGAATTTTGACATCTAAGGTTAAATGCATAAGGCAGTGGTTCTCAACCTTCCTAATGCCGCGACCCTTTAATACAGTTCCTCAGGTTGTGGTGACCCCCAATTTCATTGTTACAAATGGAACATCATTAAAGCATAGTGATTAATCACAAAAACAATATGTAATTATAGATGTGTTTTCCGATGGTCTTGGGCGACCCCTGTGAAAGGGTTGTTCGACCCCCAAAGGGGTTGCGACCCACAGGTTGAGAACCACTGGCATAAGGGAAGCTTTTGTGGTCAAAGTGTTTCTGTAAAGTAGCTTAAAATAGCTTCTATAGGATGTCAAATCCTGTATAGGTTACCATGTGCTTTGAATCATCAAGTAGAGGGTATAAGGTCTATTTTCCAACAGATCTTTTTAACTGGACCAGAGTTCCTCTGAGAAAGGCTGTGCTAGTCATTGTGGTGCTGGATGATTCTATTTAAAATATATATAT